CGGCCCTGCCCCACGAGGCCCTGCCCCACCCCCGGGATCCTGCCCCACACAGCCCTGCCCCTGACTCGGTCCTACCCTTATGCCCCCCTCAGGGTTGGCAACTGCATTTTCAGTGCCTTTCTGGGAAAGGGGTGAATGGGTGGGACCTGAGGCCTTGAAGGTCCTCAATGTAGGGAGTGCCCCAGGATCTTTTCCAGCTGTTTTGGGGGAATTTGTGGGCACTCAAGGTCATCATGGGCCACCCACAGGACCCCCACAGTGACGGAGCACGCTTTGGCCTTGACTGATGCTGAGAACTGCAGATCTGAGAGGGCATCATGAGGCCCAGGGTTGGGGCACGCACCTGTGTCTCACACACCTGTGTCCTCAGCACGGCCCCTCCCACCTGCTCTTGTGCCTGTGTGTGAAGGCCACATTCAGCTCTTGGTGTGGTGCTGACGGGTGACCTGCTGTCCAGGCCCCTCAGGGAAGTGGCTGTGGGGCCCTGAGTCTAATACTGCACTCTGGGTCCTTCGGGGCCTGACTGTCTCACTGGAGGCCACGCGTGGTGGGGAGGTGGCCTCAGAAGCCCACGACCGCCCCACTGCACAGCCCTGCATCCCTGAGCCCTGCCTGGGCGGCACTCCTGTCTTTTTAACCCCATGGCCTGGCCGCCAGCTTGGAGGTGTGTGCCTTGCAAAGTCCAGGGGGTGTCCCTGCACCACCCCCCACTGCCTCAGCCCTGAACATTCACAGTCCCCTCCCCTGGCCGGGGCCACCTCATGCTCAGCAGACCCTGGACTCCTGGACAGAGTCTTCTTGGGCACCCCCAGGGCCACCATACACCCTCCCTAACCCAAAGCTCCATCTCCAGTTAGAGGCTCTGCACCGTGGTGATAGCTTCTGTCACATGACTGCTGTGGACACCCTGGAAGAGGGTGACCCACCACAGACCCCGGAGGAGGGGGTCCCCTCATGGATGCCGGGGAGGGTGTGACCCGAGGTGTCCCCCAGAGCTGCAGAGCTGGTGTCCACAGGAGGGGCAGTGGAACTGTGGCTTGGAGGACCTGGAAAGGCAGTGGAACTGTGGCCTGGGGACCCGGAAAGGCAGTGGAACTGTGGCATGAGGACCCGGAAAGGCAGTGGAACTGTGGCAGGGGGACCCAGAAAGGCCATGGAACTGTGGCATGGGGGGCTGGAAAAGGCAGTGGAACTGTGGCTTGGAGGACCCGGAAAGGCAGTGGAACTGTGGCATGGCAGACCTGGAATAGGCTTTCATGCTGCCAGGTCACACCCTGAGCCTCCTTGGCCTGGAGCCCCTGGGCACCCAGCTCAGCTCCCACCCTGGGCTCTGCTGTGCTGCTGGCTTTATCTGGCTTAGGGGGTCCTTGACCCACTGACGGCGGCAGGCAGGGCCTCGCTTGGCTCAGCTCTGTCCGGCAGCTGGACAGACGTGCCCCAGCTCTGAGCATCTGAGGGGCCTCGGACCCAGCCCCTGGAGGGCCTGCACATCCTGGTGGTCTTTGACACGGCGGGTCTCCTGTGTGCCACCTGGGTCAGTCAGGACAGGGCCTGGGTGACACCTTTCTCTTCTTCCTCCACAGCAACATGGCTGACAAGGCCAAGCCCGCCAAAGCTGCCAACAGGACGCCCCCCAAGTCCCCGGGGGACCCCTCGAAGGACAGGGCGGCCAAGAGACTGTCGCTGGAGTCGGAGGGTGCCGGTGAGGGGGCGGCTGCGGCCCCCGAGCTCAGCGCCCTGGAGGAGGCCTTCCGGCGCTTCGCCGTGCACGGGGACACCAGGGCCACTGGGAGGGAGATGCACGGTAAGAACTGGTCGAAGCTGTGCAGGGACTGCCAGGTGATCGACGGCAGGAACGTGACTGTCACCGACGTGGACATCGTCTTCAGCAAGATCAAGTGAGTGCGCCGGCCTCTCGAGCCCACAACCTCGCGTATGGGGTCTGCGACTCTGAGTCCCTGGGTGGGTTCTGTGGGGAGCGGGCCATGGGGAGGTGGAGGGGGTTGTGTTTCAAGACCCCACCCTTCTTAGAAGCAGCCCAGACACAGGAGCCTGAACGTGCCTTCTGGGCATCCAGGGAGCAGTGGTCCTGGCATTGCCGGACCCCTGGGTGCCATGTCGTCAGCGGCAGCCCCAGCTCCTCCCGGCCCCATGGTCTGTGGGGGCTGGGCATGGGACGTGGCCTGAGGGGCTGTCTGGCCTCGGAGACAACTTGGAGTGAACGCTGCACCCCGAAGTCAGGGAGCTGTGGCTGGGATCACTGGGCTGCCCCAGGAATGGGGATGGGGCCTGCCTGGAGCCTGGAGAGGCAGGTGGCTGCTGGCAGGCAGAGCTCCCGACCCTCCGCGGTCTGGCTCAGGGGCTGAGTCTGTGGGGTTGGGAGCTTGTGTCCCGGGCATGGAGCTGGCCTCTCGGCTGTCCCCAGCCTCTCTCCCACAGCTTTTGTGCCACCCCGCTGCTGCCCGGGGACTCCCACGGGCCCCAAAACAGCAAAGGGCACCGGGGGGCTGCCGCGGCCACCACCGTGAAACCACATTGCGCCACGTGCTTTGTCTGCGTCTTGTGTGCACGTGTGTTTTTGTGTGTGCACACATATGTTGCTGTGTCAACTGTGTGCCTGTTTTCTCCCGGACACTGGGAAGCATGCTGAGGCACCCTGACACGCTCCGGCACATTGACCGTGTGTCCCGACACCCGATGTGATCGTGCCTGATGAAAACAGCAGTTCCCCGCGCCCCGTCCCATCGCCTGGGTGGAAATGGCTTTATTTCATTTCGACGGTTTGCTCCTGCGTCCACGGCCGCCAGTGTGATCCATTTCACTTCCACATCGCTGCAAGCCATCACCTCTTTCACCTCAGAGGTCCTGCCCGCTTCCCACCAGCAACCTTGGCTTTTCGAGGGGCCGGGCCCTGGGGCAGGCACCCTGTGCTGAAGGCTGTGGGGGGGCTCACATCTGCGGCACCAGCGCCCCGTCTATGAGCTCTAGGTAGGCTCTGTGGCCTTTGCAGCGGTGCCGTCCCTGCTGCGCTCCATGGCGATGTCACGTGTGTCCCCTGGGTCTCGGTTGTCTCCTGGGTCATGTGTGCCCTGGTGAACGTCCTGTTGTGTGTGGCACATTTGAGTGCACCCGAGGGCGCTTGGGTCTGGAAAGTTATGCTTGCCGGGCGTGGTGGTGCGCACCTGTCACCGCAGCTTAAGGGAGGAGGATCGCTTCAGCCCAGGAGTTCTGGGCTGTAGTGCGCTATGCCGATCCGGTGTCCGCGCTAAGTTCAGCATCAATATGGTGACCTCCTGGGAGTGGAGATCCACCAAGTTGCCTCAGGAAAGTTGTGCTGGAAAAGCCGTGAAACCACCAGAAGGTGCCTGAACCCGGACTCTCTCTCCAGCCCACTGACTGCCTTTCAGGCTGCCCCAGCTCCAGGGGATGGCGTGGGGCGGCCAGACCAGCAAGTCCTGTTTGTCATCCTGACAGCTCACAGCCTCGGTCCTGGAGAAGTGGAGGAGAGGCTCCATCAGGGGCCCCAGGTGTGAGCTGGTCTCACCCTTGACCCTGTCCTGACCCAGTGCCCCCAGTTCCCTCCTTCGTGACTTCCCAGCCTCTGCATCCCCATGGGCTCAGGCACCGGCTGGTGTGAGAGGAGGCTGTGACTGGAGCCTCTGGCAAGGTAGCCATGCAGCCTCGCACTCCCTGGCCTCTGACAGGGCTGCTGTTTGCCGATGCCACAGCGGCCAGCGCCCACGCCCACGCCCACCCAGGACCACTCATCCCTGGGGACCCTGGAGACCAGGAGGGCACGCAGAGCCTGCCCAAGCGAGGGGACCAGCAAGGCCCTGACAAAGGCTGGGTCTCGGCCTGTGAGGGTCCATTCAACAGCCCCCACCCCCAGTGCTACACCCCCGGCCACAGAGTCTCCGTGGACTGTCTCGGGGCTAGGGGGCCACTGTCCCTGCACCTCCCTTGGGACGATGGCAGAGGCGACTCTGCTGTCCAGACCCCGCTTGTGGGCTCTTTGGCAAAGGGAGGCTCCCACAGGCTCCCTGGGGTTTGGCACATCACATGCAGGGCTCGCCATGCCAGCCGGCACCTGGGGGACAGACCAGCCTGCTGTGCCCTGCTGGAAAACTGCAGCCTCCTGCAGCAGCAGGCCACACGATGTGGGCTTGTGTGGACGGCCCCAGCCAGCAGCTGGCAGGTCCTGCTAACCAGGGCCACTCTGGTGGGTCGGCAGCCATGGGCAGGCGGCACTGACCTGTGCTGCGCCTGGGACATCGGGGGCCAGAGCCTCTGGCACTGGCATTGCCCTTGTCTTGAGCCCAGAATTCACTCTGCCAAGGGGACGTGTCCTGGGCACACGGACCGGGAGAGGGAAACTGGGTCGGCTATATTTAGTGTGTGCAGTGGCAGGCAGAGCTCGCGGTGCGGCCGCCGTGTCTGGAGCCTGCGTGGGCACGGGCAGGGCAGGCTCCTCCCCTTGGCCGCCAGGACCCTTGCTCCCCGCAGTGCTCCTCCTCCGCCCTCAGGTGTCCTTGCTTGGAGGGGCCAGCCCCTTCGCAGATCCCAGTCCGTGCTCCCTGGCCCTGACAGCGGCCTCCCAGCAGGCCTGGGTGTGTGGGTGCGTCTGGGACCAGTCCCGGCTGCCCTCTGTGCCACCCAGTGTGTGCTCCAGGATACACAGGAGCAGACCTGGGGCGAAGCAGCGTGGAGGTGTTGCCCATGGGTGAAGCTTCTAGAAGACTGGGCGGGAAGCAGGAAGAGCCTGTCCAGGAGCCGTCAGCCCTGCAGGGCTGCCTTGGCATCGGCCAGGACACACCGTACGATTACTTCTGCAGAAAGTTGCCTTCAAGCTGCGGCACATGCGTGCACATGGCCATGCATGTGCCCACACACGCCTGCACATGCATACAACTCACACGGCCTCACACGTGCTCACACACACCTACACACGTGCAGAAATCACACGGCCACACGTGCACACACACGCCTGCACACATGTACAACTCATCCAGCCCCACACGTGCACACACACACCTGCACACATGCAGAACTCACACGGCCCCACACGTGCACACACATGCCTGCACACACACAGAAATCACATGACCACACACATGCACACACATGCCTACACAGACACCCAGAACTCACACAGCTGCACACATGCACACACATGCCTACACACGCAGAAATCACATGACCTCACACATGCACACATGCCTGTACAGACACACTGAACACCACACACGTGCACACACACCTGCACACATGCAGAAATCACACAACTGCACACATGCACACACATGCCTGCACAGACACACAGAACTAACACAACTACACACGTGCACACACACACCTACACACACGCAGAACTCTCATGGCCCTACACGTGCACACACATGCAGAACTCACATGGCCTCACACGTGCACACACATGCCTGCACACACATGCAGAGCTCGCCCTGTGGCGGGTGGGGCCGTGCTGCTGTGGTTCACTTGGAGGATGATGGGAGCCCTTCCCTGCTTGTGGGGTGCTGGCGCCACAGGAGGCCGGAGGAGCCCCAGCTGGTCCAGGCTCGCTGCCAGAGGCAAGGCTGGAGCTGCCCAGGCACTTGGGACCCGAGGCTCAGCACCCCCACTCCAGCACAACCACTTCCCCACTGAGAACCCGGGACCAGCCTCGGGGTGTGCCGGTCTGGGCTGACCATGAGGGTCAAGGTTGGGGGGAGCAGAGAGCTGTGGCCCAAGTCTAGAGAGGGGCTGAGGTTGAGACCCAGTCCCGGGCAGCCCGGTGGGCGCCGTGGGTGGGCGCTGTGTGGGAGGGTGTCCTGCAGGCAGCAGCTCAGGTGACCCTGGCCTGAGGGGAGGCCAAGGGATTCTGACCTCCCCGCCTCCCCATTCACCTGCAGACGCAGACCCCTGTGACACCCGGGGTCCTCCAGGGCTGCCTCCGCCTCCTCCCGTCCCCCACCCGCAAAGTGTCCTTCCCTCCTGCAGCCTGCACTGCCCTCGGGGGTCCCTATGATCCTGTCAGGGGTTCCTGACCTCCCAGCTGTGCAGGAGCAAGGGACCACCTGAACTCACACCCTTGTCTCAGGAAGAGAGAGGGATTTGGGCCACCAGGAGGGGCGGGGCCGCCAGGAGGGGTCTAGGACAACAGAGATTTTCCTTTGATTTCCGGGAAAAGCAAGGAGTGGTGTGCGGCAGGCCTGAGGGGTGTCGGGTTGCTTTTGTTTTGCATTTTGGGGAGGGGAGGCCCACTGTCACTTGTGGGAGCCCCTGCCTCCCTCAGGAGCCTGGGGACCGCGAGGAAGTGGCCTTAGGTACCGTAGAAAGCTGCTGACTCTGACAGGGCTCGGTAGAGAGAAAGTCCAGCGATTTCTGTTTTCGGGGCAGGTTGCCATGGCTCCACGGCGTGGCGCCAGCTCGGGGTATCTGCGAGCCTTTGTTTGGTCGGCGTTGCCATGGCAGCGCTTGTTTGTTTTGATGTTACTATGTGTTAAATCTTAAACAAATTTCTTGCAGCCTGATGCCAGGTTTTTGTTGAAGACTACCGCTAACCCAGACAATGACTCCTCCTGCAAAGAGCACACAGGGGCAGCTTAAAAATATTAATTAGTGGAGGCGTGGGATGCACAAGCAGGACCGTGGTGGTGGGAGTGGGGTCCTGCAGGGCCACGGACAGCAGGTCTCCCAGCGCCTCCACGAGCCTGGGGAGGGGCCCGTGCCGTGGGTGCCTCGGGACCCCTGGGGTCAGGCTCGGCCACTGCCTCCCCACCTGCGCCAACCACCACCAGCACCTGGGCGAGAGTCGGGAAGCCTTGCTCACGGAGCCCACTGCGGGTCCATCTAGCCCGGGGGGGGCGGCATCCAGCTGAAGAGGCAGAGGAAGGGGGGCTGG